TTTTTTGTTTAGCAGATTTTTATTTTTGGAAAATAGAATTTCATATTTTTCGTATGTGCATAGTTTGCAGGACTTTGTGGCTGGGTTGTAAGCATTGCACTGCCTAATTATTTTCCATTTGACAACTGGGTTTAAGTTGGCATCTTTTAATTTCCAAAATTCTTTTGATAATTTGATGTCATTTTTATATTTTAGAATGTTAAATGATTTTATATGGTTGGCATATCTAATTTTGAATGGTGTTTCACTTATACCGATGTAGGATTTGTTGAAAGGAGTGTTAGTAGGGATTTTGGAACTTATATTGGCTTGGTATACAATGTTTTTTGTTAAGCATTGGTTTGGTAAAGGGCAGGTATTTTTATTAAGGCAATTGCAGTTGGTTTTAGGTGGAATTTTGATGTTGTTCGTAATTTGTTGATTGTGTGCATTTAAAAAATTTCATATTCGGCATACTGCTATAACTTATTTTTATCGTGTTTCTGTTAAAAATTTTATGGAGGCTGTGATTTATTGGGAAGTGTTTGTTTATTAAGGTTAAAAAGCTTTTTTCTACATTAGTACTAACATTTTTTCTGAAAGGAGGGTTGAACTATATGATGTTTCGTTTAAAACATGGTTTGGTATGTGGTAAATTTAAATTAGGGTGATGAGAAAGTTCGTGATTAAAACCGGATCTTAATAGCGCGTCATTGTACATAGGAGTAGATCTTCGGAAAATTTCTTTACTTGAAGAATTTGCAGACAATCTTAACTCAATTGAATGCGGAAGCTGTTTTAGAATATTATTCGGGTGGTTTAAATCAGCATGAAATAGTTTATAGAATTCCCGGGCTTAGAATATGGTTGAAAAGTATTGTCGTTGAGATTTGATGTGACGTCAAGATAATTTATAATTTTCATGTTGTACTGTATTGATATAGTGAGTTCGTTTTTTTTAAATATTCAACAAAATGTTTTTTGATTTTTTCCATTTGGGGATCACTCATTTTTTTAAAAACTGCTAAACCATCATCGCGGTAAAATCCGAAATTATTTTTATCATAAAACTGTGCAATTTGAAGCAAAATATAAATTCCCAAGGTTACAAACTTCAGCACCATCATTTAAACATCGAATAAACCGCTTGATTTTTTAATCCAAACTTGATCAACGTTAAATAATAATGATTTTCTTGCAAGATAACCATAAAATTTTGAACCTAACTATAAAACATGATAGATCAATGTTTTATAGTTAGGGTCAATGTTTAGATGCTGCTCAGCAAAATGAATAGCGTTATTAAGATTTTTCAGATATCAAAGGGTAAAAATCAACAATATCAAAAAAAAGGAATTTATAAAGGCATTTATCACTAATGCGATTAAACCAGTTTGTGGTATCTTGGGTTTTTTTTCAC